AGAGCAGTAGCTACTGCTACTGCTACTGCTCTCTGCATTCCAAGCCATTCACCTGCTCTGAAGATGGAGGCGATACGTTCCTCCGAAACGTCGGCCAAAACGAAGAATACACGGCGCCTAAACCCAGAAGACGACTTTCTTCATAGTTATCACCGTGAAAACCTCAAAACTAACATAGAAAGAGACTACAGAGATTTTCAGTGTCAGCAGGCAGTATGTGTAGTAACCACTGAGCATTAAATTGTCAAATTGTCACCTAATCAGAACATGTAACACCTCATCAATATGGTTTTTTCACATAGCTGGCTGGCCCAAACCAACCCAGCTGATGTAGCCAGAGTTGAAAGTCGAACATTCATCTGCACAGATGATCGCCATGATACCATACCCACACCGAAAGCAGGTGTTAAGGGCACCCTTGGTAACTGGATGTCACCTGAGGACATGAGCAATGCTATCAGACACAGGTTCCCAGGCTGCATGAGAGGTAGGTTGAAGATGTTAAATTATAATTTAGTTTCAACTGGGACACATGTAGTTGTGTGATATTTTTAGGTTTCTTAGGGGCTCCTTTTTTTGGTTACTTGTTTTTTAGTTTCTTGGGATAGGGTGAGACAGTCCACTTGGTATGTCGGTCACTAACTGGCCTATTGTACCAGTCTCAGACGATAAATAAAAGTGTGGAGCAGTTGGTGGAATGAGAATTGGCAGGAGAAACTGAGGTGCTCCGAGAAGACCTGCCCCAGTGCCATTTTGTCCATCACAAATCCCACATCACCTGACCTGGGTTCGAATCTGGGCTGCCATGGTGGGAAGCTGGTGACTAACTGCCTGAGCTATGGCACAGCCTTTAGTGGTCCTGTTAGCGTAACAGATTTGATTCCAGAAACACAGCAGTCATAAGTACAATATTTGAGGTTTATGGGTTAAGATACTATGTAATGTAGTGGTGGGTGCCAGTGATACAGAAAAACACACTGCCATCATCTTCAGGATAAACTACTTGGTGTCATAACATAGCAAACCAGAATATTCTCTGCTTGTATTTGACTCCTGATTCAGTCGGCAATATTTTAGACCCTAACTGACCAGTTCTGAAGTTCTGCAGAAAAGGCATACTATTGAAGGCCATTTGACCTTGCTAATTTCTAATCATAAATGCTTTGTAAAATTGTGAGATGGGAACAGTATTCATGAACATCAGTGTGGGTCATTTGTATGCAACTCTTAAGAAGATACCTTATTGAGGAAATGGAAAATAACATGTAACAAAGATTTGAGGCTTTCACGGCGGTGACTATGAAGAAAGCAGTCTTCTGGGATTTGGCACCGTGTATATGTGGTGTTAACCGACGTTTCGGAGGAACGTATCGCCTCCATCTTCAGGGTAGAAGAAAAAGTATAAGAAATCTGCAAGCGACAAGACCGTGAGAACGGTAAAAGCAGACTGGCAGTCGGTTAACACCACATATACACGATGCCAAATCCCAGAAGACTGCTTTCTTCAACATATAACAAAGTTTGGTGAACACTTGCAACTTTATATAATGCACTTCCAAGATGTCGTATTGTGAACACATCTATGGAATCTGTATGAAAAGCTTGTATATTAAGAGTACAGTTTCTGCATGTAACCTGGTAGATAGGCACCAGTATTTTGGAGATACCGGCTGCCTCCATCTTCAAGATATAAAAAGTTAAAAAAAACAGGAAGACCTGCGAAGAATTAATCGCCTGCTTTCTTTTGATGTGACATGGCAGAGACTGAAGGGGAGGATTTGGGATGTGTGCTGTTGAGATGGTTTCAGATGTCATGGTATACATACCAGCTTTCATAAAGATTTGTTCAGGCTTTCAAAAGTTGAGAGTGAAGGGGACACACAGACAAACAACATGGTGATCTCATAAGTGTACTTTTATTTTCTCAAAAGGACAAAAGTGGGCTAATAACTGATCATCTTGGTTTTGTTGCTTTTGAAGGATATGAATGTACAGACATTTTGTAATTTTTCTTCCCATAGAGGCTAGCTGTTTGAAATATGAAGTTGTTACATTAATGGTCTCCCAGGATGTGATGCCATGTAGAGTAGTAGATGGGTAACAGTGTTTTGGAGGGACCTGTTGCCTCCATATTCATGCTAGAATAATTGTACCAGTTTTTGTTGTTGTGAATGTAAAACATGAATGTACTGTGAAAGTGGTAAGCATTATGTTTCATACGAGCTATCTGTCTCCGAGTATCCAAAATTGTTTGCTGCAGATTGAAAAGAAGACATTAATTTTAAGGACTGAATTACAGAGAATTTCTAAACCTAAAGACCCATCATGTTGCCATTATACCAACAGTGAATGGTTCCATACTTGAGATCTGAGATTCTCATGGCAGTGAATATCAAGGCTACAGCAATTCCTCTTTCTAATGGGACATAACCTGCTCAGTTTTCTGTACACATTTGGTTAATAGACTAGGCCCCTGGCAAGATTTATGGTTTGTTTGCTTGTGAAAATAAAAGTTTATCTTGGAATGTGACACCAATTTGTTTGGCTGATAGGTACTGACATTTTGAACAAACCTTCTGCCTTCATCTTCAGCCTTGTCTACCCTGAAGATGGAGGCAGCCTCATAACATTGATACCTAAGATCTTCTAATAAATAAATGATGAAGTGATTACCAAGGCAACTCTCTGTGTACCTACATCAACAGTAGAATGGTTATGTTCAGTGTGTTTTATGCACCACTTGCCTTGCCTTCATTTTAGTTGAGCATTATATATAACAAACTACATAGCATCACATATGAGAAGACCATAATTTTTTTCCCATATTTATTCCCATAATATCATTCAGAGGCCTTAAACTTCATGAATTAAAACAGCTAAGTAAAACTACAAGTTTTGAAAACAAGATGAAGCATATTAGTGACCTTCCTGTGGTGGTTTTGTGGTTTATATGGTATCAAATGGTAAGGTGAGTGGTCAGTAAGGAATTGAAAAGTATTTAGTAGGAAGTGATCATGACCTAATCGAGGTACTGTCTTGGAATTTGCCTGAAAGAACTGAGGAATCCCATAAAATCCTTAGTCAAGATAGTTGCTTGCCTGACCGAGATTCAAACCAACACTTACCAAAGACAAGTGCAGGATGCTATGTCTAAGCCAGTCTGCTCAGTCTGACCTTCCTGTTTGTTTTTGCCAGTTAAGAGATATGTAACAATTATGAACTTCTGGGATGTGAAGCTCATGTTTCTTATACTCAATTCTATAAAAGCTTTATAAGTCATGTAGAGGAGACATGTCTCTGAATGCAGAACACTGAGTGATATTTGCGCACCTTCCAGGTCGCACAATGTATGTTATTCCATTCAGCATGGGTCCTGTTGGCTCACCATTGTCTAAGATTGGTATTGAGATCACTGACTCACCATATGTAGTCAGTTCAATGCGAATCATGACTCGCGTGGGAGTGCCTGTCCTGCAAGCCTTGGCACAAGGAGCGGAGTTTGTGAAATGTCTGCACTCTGTTGGAAGCCCTCAGAACTTGGAGGCTGTGAACCATGGTTGGCCGTGTGACCCTGAAAGAACAATTATCCTTCACAGGTAAACAGTCTGTTAAAAAATTCTGTGTCAGTAGAACTCAAAAGTCAGTTTCTTAACTTGATCCTGAATTGATCCTTATCCTTACAACATATTTCCCAAATATTAAAAGCAATATTAATCTTACCAAGCATATTGGCTGAAGCAGTCATGTTCCTGACATGTACCTGGGAAATCCCCGGTTCAAATCTCAGTCAGAATAGCAACCACCCTAACTGAGGACTTCTGTTATTCTCCTCAGGCCTTGAAGGCAAATGGTAGGATAATGCCATAAATTAGGCCATTACTGATTTCTTCTACTTCATGTCAAATTTTTTTGATTGTCACATAGTCAATCAATGCTATATGGCCTCAATCATTGATAGCACTGTTAAATGAACTATAGATACATAAATAACCAGAATATTGATCTTCCCATCTGCTTACTGGTCTTAAAAGTAGACAGTTTTCAATAGATCTTTCCATTAAAATTCCGTGAATATTTCTTGTTTTGCTTGTCAGGGGAATATGTTCTAACCATCATAATTTCTTGACCCCATTATGCCAGCAAGTGTGTAAAATCATTAAAATCATCAATAAGTAATATTCTCCATTCCACCCACACTTCATCTCTCTTGGATCTGAATTCTATTGCAACGTTCTGTTTTCAAATATTTTCAATTTGCATTTGTCCCTCACAGTAAGATGTAATGTCTCGAATCTAATTTATTTATAGTTTATTTGAAGACACTGTTAGAGCTCAGCATGTATAATGTTCAATGATAGGATTATTAGTATAAACTGAAATTGGAAGGATGTTGTCTGAGGAAAAGCATAAAAACCCCAGTCAGAATTGTCATTGTCCCAGCTGAGATTCAAATTAGCCACCTTCAGAATACAACTATTACCACTTCAGCCAAATTGATTAGTATATTATGGCTAAATATAAACACAGTGTAAATAAGTTAATTATGCATTTGCTCTAGAAAGTAACAAAGTACTGATGTAAGAAATCTGTCATCCATTGCCCTGTATATTCCTTTTTCTTCTTATAGGCCAGAAAAGAATGAAATTGTCTCATATGGAAGTGGGTATGGCGGCAATTCCCTGCTGGGAAAGAAATGTTTTGCTTTGCGAATTGGTTCCACAATAGCAAAGAGAGAAGGCTGGCTGGCAGAACATATGTTGGTGAGTAAGATTCAGTACATGGTGTCTTGGTTCTCTTCAAAGTGCAGTGGTAAATAAGTATTAAAGAGCTCTTACTCTTCAACCCTGAAGATGGAGGCGACATGTTCCTCCAAAACGTCAGTTGACTTTTATTAGACTACATGACATTACATCCAAGAAGATAAAACTCTCTCAAATCCTACATTAACATTATTATTACTTCAATCTTCTTGGTAAAGCTGAATAATTGTTACTATTAATTAAATTACATTAAAATAATATTATTTTTGTGTCTTAATTTGTTTAAAACTGTTGTGTCAATCACAGCCCTTTACATAATGATCAGTAATTTTTGTGTATATTTCATCCATTCTGTAGTGCATGTCTTGTTTCATTCATATGTGCTACATGAAAACATTGCTAGAAGGCAAAGATAAGGATTCAGTTCAGAAGCTAATTTATAAATTATTTGCTTCTCTGGTATCTGTTGTACCATATATTAATCACTTTTTTCCTCACAGATCCTGGGCATCACGAATCCAGCGGGACGCAAAAGATACATTGCAGCCGCATTCCCCAGTGCATGTGGCAAGACAAATCTCGCCATGATGTGCCCGTCGCTACCAGGGTACAAAGTTGAATGTGTGGGGGATGACATTGCATGGATGAAATTTGACAGTAATGGGCAACTTAGGGCCATCAATCCTGAAAATGGCTTCTTTGGAGTGGCCCCAGGTATGTACCATATTGGAAAATGAAGATCCTGCAGAATTCATTATGGTTATGTTCTGATGACTAAAAGTAAAACAACTGCTGGAGTGCAGTGAGTCAGAGTCCATTAGTATTGCAGCCTCAATTGTGTCAGTCCCTTCTGATAGTTGAACATGAAGTATTGGTGGAGTAATGAAGGAGTGAGGGAAGACTGATTTCCTTGGAACTGCATCCTGAAATGGGCCCACTGTACCAGTTGTTGCTGATAGATGAGTGTATGTGCGATCACACAGCAACTAACAGAACATATCAAAGAAGAGTGTAAAGAAAAATGCATAATACATCAAATCGTTGTTGTTGTTGTTGTTGCTGCTGCCGCCACCACCACCGCTGCCACCATAGTCCTCCTCCTCCTCCCCTTCTCCTCCATCATGAAAGTGTTAGGCCTGTTCATTCATCAGTAATCTGTCAGACGACAGGTCCACAGTCTCTTCCAAAACAGTTCCTACACTTAATGCAATCTAGGTTAGGCCTGTTACAGTCTTTAATTAAATTATTTTAAGAATAATCAAATTTGGTTTTTAAGAAACTTTTAGACTTAGTGTCATAACCTTAATGAAGTATTACAATACAGTCTAGCAATTTAATGAATCATATGTACCTGATGACGGCCCCATATGGCCGAAACAAGTTGTCATATGTATGAAATATAGATTAAGTTGTGATTAACCAGTAGTACATGTCTATACTAGCTACTGGTAAATTTCTTAAAATGCACATATGGGCTCAAGGAATTTTCCCAGATTGTTTAAGATACTCAGAAATAAGACAGCTGTTTAAAAAGGGTGAAAAATCAAATATTTCCAACTATAGGCCTATATCACTTTTAACTTCATTCTCTAAGGTATTAGAAAAAGCTATGAGCATTCAATTGATTGAGCACTTAAATAACAATAACATTTTAGTGGAAGAACAATTTGGTTTTAGAACAAAATCTTCAACAGATGAGGCTATATACAAGTTAGTGAATGAAATCTGTAAGACCTTAAACAGCAAAAACTTAATAGGAGGCATTTTTTGTGGCCTAGAAAAGGCCTTCTGTTGTATTAATCATGAGGTTCTGTTGTTGAAATTGGAGTTCTATGGGATAAAGGGTAAAGCTAAAGAATGGCTTGAATCTTATTTCAGAAATAGATATCAAAGGATTTTAATTACAAATGTAAATCTTAACCTCAATGAATTTTCGACATGGGGCAAAATTAGGCATGGTGTCCCGCAAAGGTTCGATTCTGGGTCCATTGTTATTTCCCATTTATATAAACGATTTACCCAAAACTATAAATGATATAACTGTACGTATATTATTTGCAGATGACACTAGTTTGTTAGTTAAAAGTTCACACTATGATGATCTCTGTGTAAATATAAACAGTGCTTTCCATAGTATAAATGAATGGTTCAAAGTAAACAAACTTTCTATAAATTTTAATAAAACCCACTACATTCAGTTTACAGCTAGGAATAATAATCCTAAATCTGTATAAATAAAAATGTAAATGTGCGTTTGTCCGTGTTCTTAAATCTCCGAAAGTTCTTGTTATACTGCATTGGTAACTTCTGTTTTCTGTGATCACACCCTTAAATCTTTGGCTGTTTCTCTGAAGTACTGACATCTTAAGCAAGCTGTCTGCAAAAAATTTGACCATTTACTTACACATTCATATGTACATATCTTAGGTTCTCAACTAATGCAATAAGATTCTTAAATACATAGGTAAGTCAATAAGTAAGTTACAAATGGATATAGATCTTAAACAAATAAGAGTACTGATCTGAAAAAATGTTTTTATTTCTCAACATAATCTCCCTGTACACTGAGGCACTTGTCCCATCATTTCTCAAGCCCCTGAAAAACAGGAGCATAAAATTCTTTGGGCTGCTGTCAGAACCAGGCATGTTCACATGGCATGGCCTACATCATAATGCATGACAGTTTGCATGCTTCTGTTTAATATCCTTATGAAGTTTTCTGAGGATGTTACAGTAGGAGTTGGCATATACTGTTTGTCCTTGAGGCTGGAATGTGGTGAGCAGTATGCCTTCGTGATCCCAGAAGACTGTGAGCATCACTTTCCTGGAGGATGGTGTCACCATTGGCAGGCAACGCAGGATGTTTCCACTGAATTGATACACACTTCGTGTTGGGCTGGTAATGGTGAACCCAAGACTCATCACCTGTGACAGTTTGGCTAGCATATTGTGTCCTTCATTGTGGTAACGATTGAGATGCTGTAATGCCAGACCCATTCTTTGCATTTTGTGTTGTGAGGTCAGCATGTGCAGCATCCATCGTGCACAGATTTTGTGAAAACCTAACCTGTCATGCATTATGAGGTAGGCCATGCCATGTGAACATGCCTGGTTCTGACAGCAGCCCAAATAATTTTATGCTGCTGGTTTTCAGGGGCTTGTGGAACGATGGGACAAGTGCCTCANTGCTCAGAGGTCTCGTAGAGACATGAGAATCTTTTACGTGCCATAAATCTATGACGTGGGACCCACGGCTTAAAGTCCCTCCCGGAGGACTTGTTCCCTGAATTTTTCTGCCCTTAAAAATTCCACGACCTCTGCCGGGTTTGAACCTGTGTACCTTGAGTCATGAGGTGGGAACGTTACCCCTAGACTACGGAGGCCGCTTACTTATTGACTTACCCTCGTACAATATTGCTGCAAGCAGTTATGCATTGCCATTATATAACATTACCCATTACAGCATTCTTGTGTTATATATAATTTTCCACTATGAATGACATCCTTAGTCCTCAGTCACAACATGTACCAAAATTAAATGATTACTCTTCCAGGTACCTCAAGTAAAACAAATCCCAATGCAATGAAGACAGTGTTCCGCAACACTTTGTTTACAAATGTGGCAGCAACAAGTGATGGGGGTGTGTTCTGGGAAGGACTGGAGGATGAGCTGGCTCCGGGGGTGACTATAACAGACTGGCAAGGCAAGCCATGGGATAGATCAACACCAGCAGCCCATCCCAACTCAAGGTATGTGGCAACTTTCTGCACTACACTCTACTGATACAAACTGTTCATGAGACTCATAATCTGAATTCCTAGAATAAGGTCCCAAGCACAACATATAGAACCTACTTTCCTGTTGCACAGATTTCAAGTCTTACAGATTTGTTACTTTATTTCTATTATTTTATTCTCTTAAATAATCTAAGTTTAAGTATTAATTCTATGTATGTTCAGTTTATTTGGTATAACCTCAAAATTTCACATTGTCACCATATCTGTAATTGTTGATCCAGCTTTGTACTAAATTTCACATTCATAAATTTAGTGGTTTGTTAGTCCTTGCCATCGAACCAGTAAATGAAGAAAGTTCTTGCATATCCCATGTTCTTTTACTGCATTCTACAAAACAGACAAAACTGATCAGAAGTTTCATATTTTTCTGTAATCTATTACCATGCATCATTTCAAAATCATAAATCAGGTGGTGACAGTGTTGCTCCCACAAGTGTGGGCATGTTCCATGTTATTAGTACTAATGGTGGGAAATCATAAAGTATGATGTTGGGGTCCCTTGAATTACAAAGTGATCTTACCAAGTGTCATGGAGGTTGGTTAGTCAGTGGTTTAAAAGTTAGGCAGCTACAGACACACAGCATCATTTCATAAAATTACTTTCTTTCATTGAGACAGAAATTAATTTATAACCATGGTTGCCAACAAGATTTCTCCATTAAGAAAGCCAGAAAAATGCAAACAATCTGATGTTTAAGCTGTTGAAGAATATTTTATGTATCAACCTAGAGCATTCAGAATAAAAAAAAAATTATTAAATACAATTTAAATTTGTGGTATTAATATTCAGTTTATTAAAGTCTCTTTTATTTTGCGTTCCTTTTTTTTAATCCAGCATGTCCTAGTTTGCCTTCCCACCTCCGTGGTAGCACCCATTTTAAAATATTGTGGGATAATTAAAAAAAGAAAAGAAATTAGGCTAAAAATGCTATGCATGTTTTTATACAGTCACTTACTGAGTCAGAGACATTTCAGTCATGAACATTTTAGACTTATAATCATTATATATTAGAACTCATGTACCGTTGATACAAAAATACAAAGATAACTTTCTGTACATTTCTTCCCCTCCCGCACATTCAGCTGAGAATAAACTCCATTTCAGACATCATGTTGAAATCTCAAATAGGTTCACAGCTTTGGAAAATTAAGACACTGAGGGGAATATTAATAGAGCATGGGAAACTGTTAGAGAGAATATCAAAATTTCATCCAAAGAGAATCTAGATTATTATGAATTGAAGATGCATAAGCCATGGTTCATTGAAGGATGCTCAGACAAACTGCAGTGGTTACAGGATCCAAGAGAAATAAATGGGAATAATCTGAACAATAGAAGACGTGAAACCAGCAGGCATTTCAGGAACAAAAAGAGGGAATACATGGAAGACAAAATTACTGAGCTTGCAACGAACAGTAAGAACAAGAACTTTAGAGACCTGTACAGAGGAATAAATGACTTTAAGATGGGTTACCATCCTAGAAGTAACTTAGTGAACGATGAGAATGGTGATCTGCTTGCAGATTCCCACAACATTTTGAATAGGTGGAGGATCTACTTCGCTCAGTTATTGAATGCACATAGGCTCAGTGCTGTTAGGCAGACAGAAATACATACAGCTGAGCCGTTAATAGCTGATCCTAGCCCCTTTGAAGTTGAAAGTGCTATTGCAAAATTGAAACAGTATAAATTGCCAGGTAGTGATCAAATTCTGGCAGAACTTATTCAAGCAGGAGGCAAAATATTACATTCTAAGATCCACAATCTAATTACTTCTATTTGGCATAAGGAAAAATTGCCTGATCAGTGGAAGGAGTCTATTATTGTACCAGTTCACAAGAAGGGGGATAAAACTGACTGTAGTAATTATTGGGGGATATCACTGCTATCAACTTCATATAAAATGTCCAATATTCTTCTTTCAACGTTAAGTCCATATACAGGGTGTCCCAGGAGGAATGTGCCAAACTTCGGGAGGGTGTTCCTTATGTTAAAGTATGCCGATATAACCCAAAACACCTATGTCCAAAGTTGAACGGTTACGGAGATAATGGCCAGAGAAGTGTCAAACTTTGACCGGGGTTACACACTTGTTGATTACAAAATAGATATTAAAACTGGCAGGAATATGTGGATTCTGTAACGTTAATAATGTACGTAACATCAAACTAACTTGTGAGTGACATGAAGCCATAAAATTGAAGTACAAAAAACTCGCATGCCATCTCAAAGTTGTCGTTAAGAGTTCCAAGCACTGTACATGACACATGAATGGTAAGCGATGACGTAACGTGCTGACTGCGCGTTCTGATAAAGCCAACTCCATAAGCACGGATAGGATGAATCACGGCAGTCAAGGACAAACAGAGATAATTCCTCTCAGCTGATAGGTATAATCCGTGGACCCGCTAGAAGACCACACTTTTCTTGGGCCATTATCTCCGTAACCGTTCAACTTTGGACATAGGTGTTTTGGGTTATATCGGCATACTTTAACATAAGGAACACCCTCCCGACGTTTGGCACATTCCTCCTGGGACACCCTGTATATAGATGAACTTATTAGGGATCACCAGTGTGGGTTTCGACGTAACAGATCATCAGATCTTTTGCATTCCTCACATATTAGAGAAAAAATGGGAGTATGATGAGGCAGTACATCAGCTATTCATAGACTTCAAGAAAACCTATGATTCAGTTAGGAGGGAAGTATTTTACAATATTCTGATAGAATTTGGGGCATGCATAAAATTAGTAAGGCTGATTAAAATGTGTTTAAATGAAACGTATAGCAAAGTCTGTATATGTAAACACTTGTCTGATAATTTTCCTATCCAGAATGGTCTAAAACAAGGAGATGCTTTATCAGCACTGCTTTTCAACTTTGCTTTAGAGTATGCCATTAGGGCGGTACAGGAAAACCAGGTGATACTGAAATTAAATGGGACACATCAGCTGTTGGTCTATGCTGTTGATGTGATAAAATAGATACCATCAAGAAAAACGCAGACTATAATTGACACTAGTAAGGAGATCGTTCTAGAAGTAAACACAGAGAAAACTTAAGTATATGTTGCTGTCTCATTACCATAATGCAGCACAAAAACATGATATATAGATAAGAAACAGATGTTTTGAAAATGTGGCACAGTTCAGATATATGGGATTGCCTATAAGTAATCCAAACCTGATTCAGGAGGAAATTAAGAGGAGATTGAATTCAGGTAATGCCTGCTACCATTTAGTCCAGAAACTTTTGTCTTCTCATCTGCTGTCTAAAATCATAAAGATTAGAATATACAAAACTATTATTTTTATGTGGTTCTCTATGAATGAGAAACTTAGTCTCTGGCATTAAGGGACAAACATAGACTGAGGGTGTTTGAGAACAAGGTGTTGAGAATATTTGGACTGAAGAGAGATGAAGTGACAGGAAGGTTGGAGAAACTGCATAATAAGGAGGTTCATAACTTGTACTCTTCGCCAAGTATAATTAGAATGATCAAGTCAAAGAGGATGAGATGGGCAGGGCATGTAGGATGAATGGGGAGAAGAGGAATGCATATATAATGTTTGTGGGAAAACCAGACGGAAAGAGGCCACTAGGAAGACAAAGACATAGGTGGGTGAACAATATTAAAATGGATGTTAGAGAGATAGGATGGGATGGTATGGACTGGCTCGATCTGGCTCACAATCTGGACCAGTGGAGGGCTCTTGTGAACATGGTAATAAACCTTTGGGTTCCATAAAATGCTGGGGAATTCTTGAGTAGCTGCACAATTGGCAGCTTCTCAAGAAGGGCCCAGCACCATGAGTAAGTGAGCTATGTTTACAAAATTTCACATGCCTAGCTGCAGCAATCTATTAGTTATCATCATAAAAACAAACAGAATTTAAGTAGCCACCACATTTTATATTTACCTAAAATAACAATTACCTGAACAAAGCTGCATATTTTTTGACATCATTTAAGGATGCTTTATTAATTAGGACTGTGTTGCTCCCACTTCACAAATTCACTTGACCAAGAATTTATGGCAAAACTATATTAAATTGAAATGTATGCAGTTGTATGATATTCATACAACATTTTGGAAACATTAGACAGTTGGTTCTCAGAAGCACAAACACAGGCTGGTTTTCCTAATTATGAAAAATGTGAAAGTCTCTGAACTATGCATCAGAGCAATTTGATGATTAATTGGCGTAACTATGTCCTTTCCAACTCAAATGAATATCAAACTGCCTCTTATACCAGGTTAAGATCATATGTGCAGCATATCAGTTTCCTTGGTACAGGTTCTGTTCGCCTGCATCACAGTGTCCTATTATTGACCCTTCATGGGAAGACCCAGAAGGAGTGCCCATTGATGCCATTTTGTTTGGAGGACGCCGGCCTGTGGGAGTACCACTGGTTTATGAAGCCTACAATTGGCATCATGGGGTGTTTATTGGAGCTGCTATGAGATCTGAATCTACTGCAGCAGCTGAACACAAGGTACAGGCAACAGAACTCAGTATCAATACAATATGATACTGAGCCAGTTTCAAGCACTTTACATTCCAGAACCTATATCCCCAAGATTTGATTATTATTCACTCCTTGTTCTAGTAAGTGTCCACTCTGCAGTAGCTTCCCAACAAAAATTCAATATCTTATTTTGCTTTTACTCTCTGAGACATGTGCAGCCCATTTTAATCTCCTCAGTTCGATAGATGTGATACAACAAGGATGGATGTATAAATCAGAAATTTCCTTCACACTATTATCTCCCTTTCTCTACTCACTTCTTCTCTCCTGTGTTCATATATTTTTCTTAACATACTTGCAAATTGTAGTATTCTCTCAGAGTAAGAGAACCTGTTCACAGTTACACAAAAGAACTAGTAAAGCCAGCATCTTAATAATTCATCTATTTTTTTATTGGTAGTGGGGTGGGACTAAGTCCCTTGTACTGCAGCCACTTCTGGCCTATTGTAGCAGCCCCAGATGATAGGTGAGGGTGATTGTGGAGCAGTTGGTGGAATGAAGATTGGCAGGGGAAACCGAAGTACTCGGAGAAAACCCACCCCAGCGCCACTTTGTCCACCACAAATCCCACTTGACCAGGCCCAGGATCAAACCCGGGCTGCCGTGTTGGGAAGCCAGCAGCTAACTGCTTGAGCTATGGTGCAGCCTAATAATTCACGTAAATAATACTGTCACGTGTAATGGTGACTAAAGACGGGGTTTGGATTGGTGAGTAAATTTATTGACCACTTACAGGTCATAACTACAAATAAGTATAACAGTGTCACTGATTTTCACACTACAAATCACTCCACGATAATCTTTTTTGTCTATTTCCACTAGTCTTAACTATCCATTTCCCGGCAACAGATTTTAACACAAGAACTAAGTGGTACAGTCATTAAGTTCGTGGAATGTGGTTTTATCACATCATATTACAAGGTATTCACATACACTTACACAGATCCACATCGGCCCTCAAAATAGTCACCGTGGCCGCTACGCAAGTCTGCCAACATTGATATAGCTGCTGAAAACATTGCTGAAACATTGACAGAAAATTCCTTAAACACGGCACTCTGGCCCAAACTTCTTCACCGTACACTTGCTTCATCATGTTAAACGTTTCGCTAGGGGATTTGCCTAGTTTTTGGCAGATCTTGAGGTTTGCCCAGTGTTCAAACTCCGACATCTTCCATTTCCACCATTCGCATTTAACTGCAGTTCACAATAGAGGCCATAGTTCTGCATACACTGTTTGCACACAACAGCTTCTTGCTGTGATGAGAGATGAACTGACAGGGCATCATATCGTGCCTCAAACTATCCACTGTAATGCACTACGACAATGCTTTGCAGCCAGTCCACGAACTTATTGACTATGGTAGTGTATCACACACACTCCAGATATCACTGTACTACAGCACACATACAGTCTTCAAATCACACGTTAAGTCTTCACATGTTGACTTCTTGTACTCTTTTTACTATTTAAGCTTTCCATGATGACGGTCGATGAGTGATGGTGGGTTTTAATGCATACACCATTGTCCGCCCTTCTCCGCTGGGCCTTGCTCGTTTTCTGACAGTTTTCCGCTCCTCCTGTTCATTTCTTTGTTGCCACTTGGTCGCCATTCAGATTTTCCTGGCGATTCATGTTGGTCTCTCGGTTCTTGTTTCTGGCACCGGTCATATTCTACCTTCCTCCTGTAGGGACAGGTACTCTCTAAGTGGCCCGGTTATCCACAGCTCCAACATTCTGATTGCCTTGCATTCCTTTGTCGAGTGGGGGGGGCGATCGGCTCCCCAGAATATGTTGGTGCTAGTTTCGTGGGACCTGGCTGCCACGAGTATGTCCTGTAATTCTAATGCCTGTCTGAGGGCCTTGTTTACCATCTTCTCTCCTAGCAGCAGCTGGATTTTTATGTTGGTAACAGTCTACCAGTTTACTTATCATCACATCCTGGAAGAAAGTAATCTTCATAATTATTATAATGTTGGTGTGTAAACTTAGTACAACTGATTAAAACGTTAATCTAGCAAGTGGAAGACTTAGAAGGTTGTCTGTCATGTTATCTATGTAGCATTAGAGACACTGGGGACATATAATACACTTATACAATAGCGCCTCTAAAGGAGATATGTAGCACATGTCGCAAAGTTAAATATTTGTGTGTTTCTCTGACAGGGCAAGATCATAATGCACGATCCATTTGCAATGAGGCCATTCTTTGGATATAACTTTGGCCACTACCTAGAACATTGGTTAAATATGGAAAACACTTTTGGCCGTAAACTTCCGAAGGTGTTCCACGTAAACTGGTTCCGCAAAGATGCACAGGTTAGTATTTAAATGCCTTGTTATTGCACTGAATTACCTTAAGTTCTAAATTAGAGACTTGTAGTGCATATTTTCACCTTTGATATAGTTACTTTTCTTGTCAGTACACAAAACCAGCATTTAATAGTGAATGAATTGTTATAATATAACCAAATATAAATTTACCTAAGCCTGAAGTGATACATGTCATGTAAGATTTTGCCTTCCTTTGTAATGACCTTTGGGAAGCTGGAAAGTTATTGCATTTGAGCTCCAGTATGTATACCAGTGCTACATTGTCAACTCTAATTTCCTTGCCATGTGTGTGATGCCATAAACTGTTCAGCTGCTTCAGCAATGTTTTTAGCCCTACTGAAGTTGTGGAAGGTGAAAGTTGGTAAGACAAGTTATTGGGTGGGAGGGAGATGCACAAGTAAACACGCTACATGCTAGTAACCATGTGGATGGCCAGGCTACACTGCAGTAAGCAACAGAAACATGAAACTTTTATACATACATTGGATATGTAGGCAAGTATTCAAATACCTTCTTACCGGACCGAATTAATTTATTTCTGTATTAAAGCAGAAATTGGGGCATACAATAGCGTAGTTGGTTGAGGCACTATGCTATAAGCCGGAAGGTCGCAGGTTCAAGTCCCGATGAGATCATTGAATTTTTTTTCAATTGACCTAATCCTTCCAGCTGCACTGGGGTCGACTCAGCCTCTTACAGAAATGAGTACCAGGAATTAATTAAATAATTTTCCTGGGGAGTAAAGCATGGCCGGCTCACAAAGCTGACAACCTCACTGCCATCTTTGAGTTGATTGTCTAGATAATGTAGGACCCCTCAACGTCTCATGACCCTATGGGCCTTCAAGGTCCGTTACAGGGATAGCTTTACTTTTAATAAGATCTAAAAGTCTGTGACGAAGGTAAATTGTTACCATTAATATATTGTTGGACATTATTAATCATCTTGTCTGTTCTTTTAAAAGAAACAGGATGGGTTTCTTTAAGAACAGACAAGATGATGGATAATGTCCAACAACATATTAATTGTAGCTTTACTTTTACTTTTTATTAAAGCAGAAATTATAGAACTGTTGCAGCTGGAGTTGGAGTAGTACTCTTTGCCAAATCCAAAAATCTTATTTTCAAAAGTACAATGTTCCCTCATTGTAGCATTGGTAAATTTACTTGGACATCACCCAATGAAAAGATGCATAACAAAATTGACCGTATTTTGATGTATTACACATGGCATTCAAGTACATTTGATGTCTGATCATTCGGGGGTACAGATTATGATACTGACCACTACCTGGTGGTGAGTAAACAAACAACACACAGAGTTCATACAAAGAGGGTTAAATGGGGATAATCTGAACAATATAAGACATGAAACCAGCAGGCATTTCAGGAACAAAAAGAGGGAATATCTGAAAGAAAAAATTGATGAGCTTGTAATGAACAGTAAAAACAAGATCATTAGAGACCTGTATAGAGGAATAAATGACTGTAACACTTCACGGACCGGTGATTTAAATATTTAAATCACCCTGGGGACCAGCATTTTTAAACATACTACCCTAACTTGTGCACTGTTCACTTTAAAAATTAATATAAAATCTAATTAATTTTTTGAACAAAAATTTTTGGAGAACACTTACCAGTGCTCCTAGAAGTGCTTGAAGGTGTGATATTTCTGGAAACTTTCCCCTTTGTGAAGTGGCATTACACAGAACTTGCAATTGTAGACATACTCCTTTTTTTTTTGAACTGTGCAAACACGGCATTGCCTAGAAGTATTCTTCCCCTTGGAATGTTCACTCTTCACAATTTTCACAAGGGTATTTTTCCGCATATCACTCAAGGGGGGTCCACATGAGGCCTTCATGGGGTGGGAGTTGATGAGCTCTGGTGCTGCCGTCACCATGTGGACTGTAACCCAGGCCTTTGCCACATCCATCAGAAATACTTTGTATTTCAATTTTGAATCAGGGTTTAGATTTTTTTAGATTTTTTGCTGTCCCCGCAAAGTTACTACACGCAATGTTATTACCTGCATTATCGTTGGACCTACTGTCACTTTTACTGTCTGTGGCCACAATTCTTTGTTGTCCCCCGTCGCTGTCACTGTCTGAATGACAATTAATCCATTACTATGCGTCTCACAAGGCAGCTCAGCTAGGTCATCGGAGGATAATTTGTCCTTGATCCATTCTCCCCACTAGCCACTGGCTGATACACACAGCTTGAAGAAGGCAAAGCATTTTCCTTTATAGTCGGTTAAGTAAACAGCGAGTTCAAGTTACTGACTGCTAACTAAACATTCCAGAGCCTTATCACACATCTGCAGGCGGTTGCATGCAATGTAGGTGGCGCCAGAGCGATGTATAGTGTGTTGCACCTTATCGTGTTCTAAAAGCCTGTTAACACACGAACGGTCCACCATATTTAAAAGCGAAAAACCTTTTAAAGGGTGCGCAGTCCACAAAGTGTTAAGAGGGGTTACCAGCCTAGCAGTAACTTAGTGAAGAACGAGAATGGTGATCTGCTTGCAGATTCTCACAACATTTTTAATAGATGGAAGAACCACTTCTCACAGTTACTGAATGTCCATAGGGTCAGTGATATTAGGAAGATAGAAATGCATACAGTTGAGCTGTTAATACCTGATCCTAGCACTTTTCAGGTTGAAATTGCTATTGCAGCATTCAAAAGACATAAATCCTGGCAGAACTGATTCAAGCAGCAGGTGAAATGTTATGCTCTAAGGTCCATAAGCTAATTAATTCTATTTGGCATAAGGAAAAACTGCCTGATCAGTGGAAGGAGTCTACTGTTATATCATTTCACAAGAAGGTTTATAGAACTGACTGTAGTAATTGTTGTGGGATATCACTGCTATCAACTTCATACAAAGTTTTATCCAATATTCTTCTCTCAAGGTTAAATTCATACATAGATGAAATTACTGGGGATCATCAGTGTGGGTTTTGACATGACAGATGAACTGCTGATCAGATCTTTTGCATTCGTCAGATACTACTAGAAGAAAAATGGGAGTAGAATGAGACAGTACATCAGCTCTTCATAGATTTAAAGAAAGTCTATGATTCAGTTAGGAGGGAAGTATTGTACAATATTCTCATAGAGTTTGGGGTACCCATGAAACTAGTTAGGTTCAATAAAATGTGTTTAAACGAACTGTATAGTAAAGTCCATATATGTAAACATTTGCCTGATAATTTTCCTATCCAGAATGGTCTAAAACAAGGAGATGCTATATCACCACTGCTATTCAACTTTGCTTTAGAATATGCCATTAGAAAGGTCCAGGGAAGTCTATGCCGATGATGTGAACCTGCTGGGTGATAAATAGATACCATAAAGAGAAACACAGGCTGTAATTGATGCTCATAAGGAGCTTGGTCTAGAAGTAAACACAGAGAAAACTAAGTATATGTTGCTGTCTCCATAATGCAAGGCAAAATCATGACATAAAGATAGGAAACAGATGTTTTGAAAATGTTGCACAGTTCAGGTACTTGGAACGACTATATGAGGAGCTTCATAACTTGTACTGTTCTTCAAGTATAATTTGAATGATCAAGTCAAGGAGAATGAGATGGGCAGGGCATGTAGCACGAATGGGGAGAAGAGGAATATATATAGAGTGTTTGTGGGAAAGCCCAAAGGAAAGAGACCACTAGGAAGACCAAGACATAGGTGGGTGTACAGTATTAAAATTGACCCTGGGGGGCAGATCCAGAGGTCCAGGTTCGATTCCCGGCTCTACCAGGTTTTTTCTAAGAAGTAGTGGGTCTGGAACGGGGTCCACTCAGCCTCGTGATGATAATTGAGGAGTTATTTCAAGAAAATAGCGACTCCGGTCTAGAAAACCGAAATTAACGGCCGTGGGGATTCATTGCGCCAACCACGTGAGACCCTCTATCTGCAAAAGTTTGCATCGAACTTCGCCGACAAGCGGCGGTCGCTCAGTCAGTATAGTTCGCTTGCGGACTAAAATCACCGGGCTAGCTCTGTCTATTGGACCCAACTGAGAAGGTTTTACCTGAAGACGTGGACAGATTCCAGTTCCCGAAACGTTGTTTTTTAATAGACACTAGACGGTTTTTTAACAGACAAGATGATGGATAATGTCCAGCAACATATTAATTGTAACAATTTACCATCATCACAAACTTTTAGATCTTATAAAATCACAGAGTTTGTTTTTTGTTTGTGATTGTTGATTGTTATTCACTTGTTCTCTTCAATTTCCATTTTAGATGTAATAAGTTCACAATCGAGTTTTAGTGAAAATGACTGGCCCAGCATGTGACATCCCAATACAGGGTCATGGAATAAGTAATAAAAATCAATATTATGAGACGTGTAATACCCCTGGGTTTAAAAAATGTATTAGTGTTCCTTAAATGAGATTTTTAAAGGTGGAGCAGAATTTAAACGACTAACAAGGATTCTTTTTCCAGGGTAAGTTTCTCTGGCCTGGTTTTGGAGAGAACTCCCGTGTGCTTGACTGGATTTTCCGACGAATAGACAATGAGGAAATTGCTCAGCCAACCCCTGTTGGCTACGTACCCAAGACAGATTGTCTGAACCTAGATGGACTCAGTGAGACCATCAACATGACTGAACTGTTCAGCCTGCCCAAAGATTTTTGGCTCCAAGAGGTAACTTCATCAATGTGTCTGTAGTCATAGTTTAATCTTATAATTTAACATCCTTCCATTGCTTTCAAAGCAAATTAGCAGAGTAAAGATATTGTGATATGTCCACGCATTGCCAGGCAATGGCTTGATAGACACCCTGCGATATATGCATGCAACAATAGGATGAATGTTATAGCTTGTTGCTAGGCAGCAGTCAGTCACTGAAGGACTAGCGGGATAGCATTCACGTGACTTGTTTTCAATGTGGTTTGCGCCATGCCCAGTGCTAGGCAACAGAACTACAGTAATAGAAGGTGTTTGCTATGCATGGTCTGTGCCTGAGGTTTATAGGGGACAACAAAGGTCGTTTGTGAGTAGACGCAGCTGAGAATCAAGGACATGAAGGGTTAGTTGCAATAGTGTGGCTGTAAAGAAAAGACTTCATGTGTTATATCTGAAGTGTGTAATTCAGTTGAGACTGTTAAGGTCCCTGTGTTTTTAATTGTGTTACCAGGAGACAATGAGAGAGAGAGAGTGTGTGTGTGTGCATGCGCGTGTGCATAACAATGAATTATAAAGTGTAGGAATAGTGATGGCGCTATAATTAATAATAATTATTTGTGGTGTTTATCAGGTGTAAAGTAACGCGTTCATCCAATCCAGAACCTGAGTTATTAGTCACTAATACATATGACAATATCTTTATAACTGGTCCAGACATATATATTATGGAGGAGGTTGGCTTTGCTCCACTTTTGTAGTCTGAAAGATAAAAGTTTTCACAGGTAACTGAGGAAATATTTGATATACATTTCAAAATTCTGTTAAGCCATTATTTTCTTTTACAACAGGTGACTGACATTGAGCAATACTTCTCAGAGCAAGTGGGAGCAGACCTGCCAGTGGCAATTGCAGAAGAGCTCTCTGCCTTGCGCCAACGGCTGCTCAACATGTAGCCTGTTCTTGTTTCCAGACTGTAATGTACTCTATATGTCAACAACCTACAAAGATTCAGGATAACACTGTCCAATGCTACAAGTCAAGGTATATAATTATGATCAGCAGTAGAAAGCACTGGTATGAAGTTATCTAGGTTTTACCATAAATTATGAAATCTGACAAAATCCACACAATCAAGGAGATATCATCCACCCACCTACTCCTGACTACCTCCTGGTTGAAACAGGCAGCAAATTGCTGGCTTCCGCTAAGCTTCAATTATCTTACAAAATGTAAGATAAAATTAAGGATGTCTCTATCAGTTATATTTTTCAGGGTGGCAAAATGAGGTATGAATTGTCTCTAAGCAAGAAAACATGGTTACAATTATGATTGTGTGGAAGAAAGAAAAAATCATAGGTAAATGGTATAAGGAGACAGATGAAGGCAATATTAGGATCGGTATGTGCCATTTTCTGTAATATGTCCTATTTCATTCAGCCTTCTAAGACTGTAATTACATTAAAATTGTTTAAAAGCATTAAAGTTATTTATTTTTTCAGCTTTTGTAACTCTAAGTATTGTCACATTTTATTGCTAGTGAAAGATAAAGTTTTATTTATATTGAACTCTTGAATTTGTCATTTGTGTGTGTGTGTTCATGCTTGTGTGTACATGTATGTGTCTTTTTAGTTACATGAGACCCAAATCCTGATTGGTCATAAGAAGAGTTTACCAGAACAAACATTGTGTGCACAATATATTTGTATATAGTCTTAAACAAATATGTTTAATAAAATAAATTTGTGATAATGGTAAAACACTGTTGATCTTTCCCATCATGATGATGGTACAGAATGTTCTTATTATGCAGCTCATCAGGAAATTCCACACTTTTCCAATTGAGGGATAGTGTGGCTATGGCATTAAGGAGGCAATGGGGAAAGCAAATTAACCTAACCGATAAGTAAAAGGGAAAGAAGGAAAATTATGCAATATGGAGCTTCACAATTTGTTCTCTGGTGATCGTGAGGTAGGGCGCTGGACTCTCATTCGGAGAATGTGAGTAATCCTTTTTTTTTTCCATCAATATCTAATGAATGGAAAACATCTAATATTCCTTGAAAATTACTGTGAGTTTTATTGCACCTCTTATATGTTTTGTACTCCTTTCACTGCCCAAGCAATTACTTCTTTCTCCAAATAGAATTAATGAGTTGATGGATCTATCACTGTAATGTTTCACCTCCTGATGAATCAGTTCTGCCAGAAGTTGATTACTATCTGAAGATTTAATTTGTTTTACGGAATTGCTGGGGGCATGCCGTAGCATAGTGGTTGAGGGGCTATGCTACAAGCCGGAAGGTCACGGGTTCAGGTCCCGATGAGGTCATTGGATTTTTTTCAGTTGACCCAATCCTTCCAGCCACACTAGGCCCTGGGGTTTACTCAGCCTCTAACAGAAATGAGTACCAGGAATTAATTAAATAATTTTCCTGGGGAGTAAAGTGCAGCCCGCGCGTAAGGTTGACAACTTTACCGCCATCTTTGAGCCGAATGTCTAGATAATGTGGGATCCTCAATGTGTCCCAACCCTATGGGCCTTCACGGCCTGGTACAGGGATAGCTTTACTTTTTTATTTACAGAATTGCTGGTGAACTGATTACAGTGCTAGTACTTAGAAAATTTGACTTTGTAGAAGCACTGTTCCATGTAGGAGTGATATCATGGTACAAGACCATAATCTTAGTATTAACTGCTATGAGCTGCTCAAGCCTTGCAGTTTTACATAAAGAGTACAGCCTCTTGCGTGGATGCTTTCTATTGCTTCCGATTATGATCTGTTCGACCACTCTGACATCTGCAAATCTAAGCAAAGGCGTAGAATCCATTTCTGGTCTGGAGGTATTAATAGAGCAGATTATGTTACACCCATTGACATGGTTGCCATGAGATTGATGTTTCTCCTAATTTTCTCTGGGCAGCCTTTGTCACTTACTTTCTTTTTTAGTTCCTCCTGGCCAGAGCTTGTATCCTTTCTAATTCCTTCATGGCCTTTGTCTTGGGTATTATTTGTATCCTTTTTAGGTTCTTCTTGGTCATTGCTTATTTAACTGCTCCAAAACCACCTACAGTGCGGGATCTATCTGCCATCTGACTTCTAACAGCAGTTGTAATGTGTACCTTGTTCTGGAGCAATTATTTGTAGTTTGTCACAATCTTGACATCAATTTCTTTTAATTTACTTATAGTACACTCACACATTGTTGCACTAGTTCATTCTTATGTTCACTAGCTTGCATCTGACAGTAGGGAACTAGCTTTTCACATCACATACTGTCTCACTTGCTTTCACTACACGAGAAGGCTGCGCTTTGCTGTAACTGCCTCTGTTTATCTCACAACTACCATTTTATACAAGCTACATTTCTAGAATATTTCACAACAAGGCACACTGACTAGCCACCCACCTTGGGCCATGGTCCACTCGACAGTACTTACAATTAAGAGTTATCATCTGGATTGTAACACCATTCAGCGATTTTCTTTTTTTGGAATGCATCACCTCCATCTGCAGGGTAAAAGAGTAAGCCGCACATGTGCTTGCAGTCTGTTTCTTGCTTTGCTTAATCTAAGTCCTAAAGATGGAGGCAATGTGTTCCTCAGAAACGTTGGACTTCGGAATAACGTGGCACCATTACTCTTCATGGTCTCTAGTGTGATAACTTCAGATCCAACAAATTTACAATTGTTATTTAGTCAAATCAGAGTTGGTGCTGAAATCTTTGAGGTGCATCGTTACTCCAAGTACTCCACTTCTGGGACAACAGCCTATGGAGTCATTATGAGCCACGATATTCCAGGTAATTCGTATTTTCATATGGAGCTTGTGTTTCATATGGCTTAATACTAACCAAGTAATGCAGTTTATGCTATTTCAATACCAACACGTGAATTAAAATACGATCATGATTGTCTTAGAAACTGAAATGGTTGCAAACTCCCTTTCTTTGTTACTAAACACCACACACAGAAACAACTGTGATATAGTGCACAGCGTTCACTCGTGAACTTTACTGAGAACTGGTTTTCATGGAAGTACCATATGTTGTCCTACATGCATTAAAATACAGTAGAACTTGGTTATAACGTCATCAAAGGGACCTAAAAATAGTGTCGTTATAAACGAGTGTCGTTGTAACCGAAATGGGCATTTCCACAGTAGCCTTATGTTAGTCAGGTAAAAATCTACCAAAAACCGAGTTAAAAATGTTGCATTTTTTAGTGAAATACGTAGTTAAGTACAGACTAACGTAACATTAACGTGGAATTGCCCAAATGTGTAATATCAAAGACATATTACAGCGCTTTTCACTGACAATACACACCGCACTAATACTGTATATTAAAGGTAGGCCTACTCACCAAATTACAGTAGATTACATCAATTGTTGTGCCTTACTGTACCTAGATACGAGTACAGTAATCAGTTATCTTCATCTGTTTCCTGTTACTTGCCCAATACACACTTTCTAAATTACGTTCAATGTCCATATCAGAGAAATTCAGGAATGAAAATGACGTTACATACGAGGTTGATGCATTTGTGCATGTCGTACTAAGCAAGGTATAAAAACAGTTGCTTTATGAGGAATTAGTTCGTACCATTGAATATTTGACGCAATAGACAAGGTGTCGCAGAAACCGATGTTGCTATAACCAAGTTTTACTGTATGTATTTTTTTTAAATACAGCTATTATGTGAAACATTTTCAGATTTGATTTGTATATACTGATGTATGTTGTCCCTCTGCATCATATTGTACGACATATGAGGAGTAAAGTTTTGTGCGCTACAGAGATGACAGTGCTTAGCCTCTTGTTCTGGATGCTTTACTTGGGGTCAGAGTTGCTGGTACCAATACAGTAGATGGCTGAACAGACCCCAAAGCCAGTCTGGACATAATGTTGGCAAAGAGGAAAAATACCTTCCCTTATCACAAATAACATACTGGTCCTCCACCCCAAATTTATCCTACTTCATATGTAATGAAATATAAGATGAAACTAATTTATGCCCTTACATCAAGTAACTGGTGTGATACACCAATTTGAACTAAATGAAATTTTCTCGCAAATTTTTTTATACAGACACCATATTAAATTTGATACATTATTAAATACTTCTGTAGATGAAATACTCACAAGAAGAGACACATATATTCTTTTGTTATAAAGAGTTATTCATTTTATGCACTGCATGTAGAACAGCTGAAACATACATCGCAGAAACAGCAGCAGCAACAATAACAAGTGACTGTCTAGTAGAAGAAAGCGAGGGTTCAACATTGCCAATAGAAAAGCTTACTATTGACATGAACCTGAGATGGTTCTATCCACCTCCCATCCTCACAATCTCAGTGTTTTTCTCCCATCTCCTCTGTTTTGTGTGCCCACAATGGTTATAATGTGTAAGAATGGATCACGGGAAGGGTTACTGTGAAAACTATAACACAAGATGAGAACTATCAAATTTGCCCACTGGGTTCTCAACAGGTATTTATGCAATAAAAAACCTATGATCATTGTGAGATTTTTTATTGGTGTGTCAAAGGAGAGTGCTGATAAGAAACTTGAAAAGAGTCAACTTTGAAATATAACATTTTATATACAACAGAAACATTTTAAATTACCTTAAATACTCCAAATATCATTTCATATAAGAAACTAAATTTATATAATATAAATATTTACACAACCACACGCGCGCGCACACAAAAAAATACACCTCATCTCCTGATGCTTGTGTTTTTAAGTACACAATTTATATGCATTTAAAAGCTACTGAGGTATCTCAAACTAACAATAACAAAAGGAAATGCAAACTGTTATGAACAGGATACACAATTAAGTACATACAGAACACACAGTTCTGTAATACTTACCGTATTTAGAAACACTAAAAAAAAAAAATTATCAATCCCTTCTATAAGAAATTATAACAAAACACTGTGGAATTATGTGAAAAAAATTCTATGATTTGACATGCTACAGTAAGTATCTGCAGAAGAAAAGCATACTATATAAAGATCACTGAAAAATATCAATAGTCCACATTTAAACAATACTACCAATTTACTTTGGAATGCTGCTGGATACAGTAACTCAGTAAATAATTAAAAGAAATCACAGCTTTATGTTTTAATGTAATGAAAATTCTGAAGTTCTATAAATGGCAATATTAAGGATGCACCATACTGTCATGTTTAGAACAGTCTGGTTCAAATGGATGGATGTTTTATACTCTAGACAAACTATTTAAGCTTTCTTAACAATCATATTTAAAGAAAAGAATCACTGAACTATGTGTAGCTGTAACAATAAATTCATTGTCATGTGTGTATATTCGGTTTCTTAACATTCTCCCCGCATCTGCAAAGTCATCAAACATTTATACTGGCACCTCTTAATTTCTTTAAATTTCACCTGTTAAAGACATTAAGGATTCACCACACTGTTCAAGGAATCTTCTTTTTATATCTTTCCACCTTCATACAAATTCACTGAGTGTTCAAACTTCTTAATATGGACACAAGATGGGAAAATGTGATCATCATCATCAGCTTCATGGATTAAGTCTTGGTACTGATGGTTCTGGCTCCACATGCAGAATACTTTAATCTTTAATATAATCTGAAACTTTGAAACATACATGTGGACACTGAAATATTATTATAATATTGATTACATTAGAAATTTCCATCTTTCTGTGCTTTTCATCGATCTCTTTTTATCTGCTGGATTGTAAAAAAATACAAATTAATGCAGGAGAATGTAAGATTTGTATTCTAATGGTGGTGACTAGGAAGACTACTGTTTCTGGGATATGATGTTATGTAGTCTGATAAACACTTTCCAGCGTTTAGAAGGAACATTGGTAACTATCTAACAAATTACATCACATAATATGCCAAAAGTCAATAATCTTCAAATCCATGCCGTATTTTTGACTTGTATCAATTTTATCTGAAATTAAATTTCAGAAATTTTTTATATGTACATCAAGAACTTAATTGTCAAATGAAGGAACTGATGTAATGCAGTGCAATTACAAACAACAGTGAATGTGACAGCAAAGTAATTTTTGACACACAAAGGAAATGAGACTGGAGCTGACTTTATGATCCTCTCATCAGATTGAACATGAGATCTATATTCTGCCATATATAATAAGCACTCCAAAATTTCATTGCTTGCCAGCAGCTTTTATTTATGATAATTTCGTTTCTATTATTCTTATATTTACATACATGCATGCACATGTGCACACACACACACACATATATGTGCACATGCCCAGATACTAGCCTGTACTGAGAATGCAGAAAAAATTCACATGGATTGAAGCACTCCACATGTCCATGAGGCCATTATGCTTCCCCTTCAGCATGCCTAGTACTTTCGTCTCCAGTTATCTAGCCATTCTGTTCACAAGAATGTTAACAGTAATGACCTTCACTTTCAACAAGTAATCTGGGTTGGTTCACATATGCCAGATGGGGCCAGAGATTAATGCAACAGTAGAAAGTTACAAGCCTCAAGTGTAGTAATCTCTCCCATGTATGGGATTTATTTCTGTGGCCTCAGTACAATTAACTTGAATTCTAAAAGTACATAAGAACATGTTATGGTGCATCCTAAGCAAAGAGAACTTTGTAAACAGAAATAAAAACATTAAGCATGGAATGTGGACACAGATCTACAATGAAAGAAATTCTTGTTTAAAACTGGAATGTGTATTATACAGATCACATGTTGTGTGTTCACATCACCATAGTGAATGCACTAACAGTATTATTAAAAAATAATATTCCTTATTACTTAGAAAATCACACTTTTCTCCCATTTGCCTAAGTATTATAAAATATTGTGAATTTCTCACTTACAAAGTTCAAACAGGCAATGACTATTATACAATGTAATGTGTGTACTTGACTATTTACAATATTTCTGTCTCACTCACATACATAAATAATCACAAGATACAAGACAGTATATGATTTAGATCCCAAAATGATTGCTCAAACGCATATCTACCAAACAAACATTTTATTAAGAAACACTATTTATTGAATGCAATATTGCCAGCATGTTCACACAGAACACTATATGATATGGATTTCCCTATGTTCCATCAAAATTAAACACAGCACTGGTAACTTAAGAATGACACAAATCCTACTGAACATATAAACTTCACTGTCTCAAAACGCGATAAATTAGTACTTTGGTTTCATCTTTAAAATAAACTGTTGTCCTGAGTATTTCAAAAGCTAATAGAATACTGTGGATTCAATTTCTTAATGCCCTGTATGTAATTCCTCCTTTGTGACAAGTTACAGTAACCCTATCAGGGCCAATTCCAAATATACTTCAAGCTGTCTGTCATGTCCACTCGGCCAACCCAAAAAATATTCTTCTCCAGTTTGGACTTTTTTTCTTTATATCAATACTGAATACCTTCATATTATGTTCCTTGAATGTCTGAATTTTCGTACCTGTTGAAAGGATGCAATGTGAATAATACTGAATACTGAATACCTTCATATTATGTTCCTTGAATGTCTGAATTTTCGTACCTGTTGAAAGGATTCAATGTGAATAAGCAGTATGGTGGAGAGACCAAAGAGAAAAATATGAAACACTAAATATTGAGTTCAGTTATGAAGAAGGATGAGGATAAGCAGACAATAACAACAATAATAATATAAGAAACTGATCTGCAGGGTGTGTGAATGCTCCAGAAATATGGAATTGTGGGGATTAATTACAAATGGCCATAAAATTTCGAGAGACAGCAATTGTTGATGTACAATACACAATTCACGCATATTCAACTTCAGTCTCCATGGTAGTTTCATCTATAGATGTTATTTAATCCCTCATCATTAATGCCATTAACTGCTCAATTTGGATGTCCTTTGCATGAATACTTTGTGCATTACAGGAATCCACTGACTTACATAATTCTGACTTGTATATCAACCTAGGAATCAAAGGAATCTCATAAGAATTTTTTATTTAAGTTCTTAAGAAAAGAATTAAAAAATAATGCAATTATTTATTACAAACGAAAACTTGAGTAATAAATATCTAAAGTGTGTGTAATTAAATTTTATTGAATTACGTGTTTTTCAATAAAAGAGAGAAAGATGGAAATCTGTACTTTCTATTTCATTAATAACGGATCAGAAACTGAAATATTTCACCGTCTATTGAGGAATGTAATTTCCTGTTCCACTGCCAATTGCTTCACATGGCACAATGGTGGGATTCTGTATTCTAGAGACTTTACAGCTGAGTGTAACTAAGGCAACATATATCATAAGTGTGATTTCCTCTACTAGTATTTCTACATAATTGATGCATGTAATTGAAATGAAGGGGGAAATGAAGGAGATTTTGTACTACTACTTCTGTCAGATTATTTTTGTGCTGTCTTCATGGAACTATTTTTCAACTATGTAGCATTTTGGGTTTGCAGTGGTAACTGTGAAGAGTATTGTTATATTCTAAGATGTGATGGCACATGCTCTTATAAAAGTCCAGTTGTTTTCTAGTGTCTCCATCTTCAAGGTCAAAGATGTGCTAAGTGAGAAGTTAGCAAGAAGCAACAACTTGCATATATTTAAGATGGAGGCAGTACTTTCCCCTGAAACATGGAGAGCTTCTGCCAGACTGTACATCATCACTTCCAAAAAGATAGTACTCTTCATATTATAGAACTGTCTTACATAGACTGTAAAGTTCTCACATGCCTACTCTGAAATTGTCTATTCATTTCAAACAAGTATGAAATTCTGCTACCATGTACTGAATCTGAGGCTGTGTCAAGAATATGCAGTTACTACTTGAGATGAAGACCATGGAGTCTAGTAGCTACAGATCTGATGTCATAGCAACAAAAGTTTAAGTTCTGAAGTTCCCACTGCATTGACTAAAGATGAGCTGTGATTCTATGTACTCTGGTAGAGAGGTACCAATATTTCAGAGGAACCTGCTGTCTCCAGCTTCAGGATTGAAAAGATGCCACTGATTTATGTCTTAATACACTGAATCGATGACTCCTGAAGATCTACAAATACAGAATGCTGTCACGTTTACAGTAATCTGATTTTAATTGATGAATTTCTTTATATTTATATATATGGGTGATTATGCAATATTTGATACTCTAATTATTAATAACAATAAATAACAGTTGCAGTGATGTTAATGGCCGATTTTGAATGGAAAAACGTTTAAAATTAAGGGGAAGGCGGGAGAGAGAAGATTTCACTTTCAGATTTTGGCCACAATCCGCAACCAGGGATACAACTGAGTGTATCATACAGCCAATTATGAAGGTAACGTATACTAAATAATATTGTGCAGATGTTACAGGACTTGCCCACAAAATATAAAGAAGTTATTGTCATCATAGGGCAAGCATGCATTTTCTATGAAATTAAGTCCCCACTGCCTCGGCCCTCAGGCCAAATATGTTATTTTAACCTTTTAAATAACAGTGATGAGAACTTATATATTCAGAAACTCCGTCCACAGAGGGTACATATGTGTTTTGTATGGTTCTCGGAATAAACAGCAATGATTTCACTCAACAGCCTTAACCAAATGATCTTTGTGATGAGACACACTGTGCTTCTGTATGGTAGAAAACTCATTTTTTTTTAAATATTATTTAGATGCATTTCAAGCTCCAAAATTTTAAAAGCCCTGGCACTATCTGTTATGATAGCAAACATCAAACAGACCTCATTATATTCGCATATATTTTTGATGTAGTCAAATCCATTCAATTATGAGCATTTTAAAGAAATCACTTCTAATTCTCTTAACCCTTTCATTGTTATTGAATAAAAGTATCTTAGTTGGCTGTGCATTAGTCAATATTCATATGACAGTTTGAATTTAGACATATCAAATATTGAAAAATGAAGTGACTGCTACCATCGTACACCTCGGTGTTGAAATACTGCATTGCTAACATAAGTCACCAGCATAAATAACCACAATAGACACACTCAGTATCAATAAATAACATTAATAAACACAATTACTCAGTCCTTCCTTCACTCTCTATTAAAAGCAGTCAGAATTCCGATTACCTAAAATATATACATACATATTAAAAGAAACATAGTTCCATGTATTGATAATGGGCCCAAGATTAATGCAACCTCAAGTAGTGAGGCATGCAACTAACAGATGGCATTAGTTATAATGAACAACTTCCGTGCTTCACCCCCGAGTCTCTGCATAACATAAAATAGAGGTTTTTTTGGCGTTCCAACAACAGAAATTAATTTTGACATCGCAGTGCAAATCTCAGAATGTGCGTGAAATGGAGAGATGGTGGAGGAATGGATCAGCAACTGACACAATTACCGATTTCAAGAATATATTACATTCTCAACTTATAAACAAATGGTGTTATAACACTCTGTGCAGTCACACCAAAGGTACCTAATGCAGTGTAATCATTAGGCTGACATTCAGGGCAAATGTACACCAAAATTTATATGGATAGATTCTAACTGAAAGTGAATCTGATCACAGAATTGAGTCCTGTGAAGGCTTTCTAAAAATGTTTACCAGGATGGACACTTCATAGACACACTACTGCCCTGGTAGTACACTGCACCATCAAATCAGTTGTGTCTATGAAGTGTCCATCCTGGTAAACATTTTTATAAAGCCTTCACAAGACTCAAATCTGTAATCAGATTGCAGTCTGGTGTAATGCACTAGGCAGGGGTATTATGAGACAACTTCTCTTTGACATGAGAGCTACTGGTACCAAGTACCTCAACATGCTAGTTATCAACTGTGCCTGTCATTTTTTAGATACAAGAAAATGATTCACATTGATATTGCAGTGTTAATTTCCCAGATTTGTGGAGAGCACAAAGAGGAACTACTGTAAACACTTGCATTTGGATTGCCTGCAGTATGAACTGTATTCCAAAATGTCAGGTGTGTTCCATGAACCTGGGTAATCATGCGTACCAACCTCATCAGAAGCTGTTTTTAGGAGCGAAATAAGACAGACAGGTGGTAAAAGGATTCTTTTCAAAGGGAGACAGCAAGAAAATTTGCTTACAATATTTTTAACACTTTCCATGCTACACACATAAAACATAGCTTAATACTGACCCATGAATTTATATGGAGTTCAAGACCAGTTGCAATTAAGAATCCATGGTTTGTCAATAGCAGAAATCGAGCATTATCATGCTAATATTCATTCATACTTAATATCTCTTGAAATAAGAACAGCTTGGAAAGTGTTAATATTTTAAATTTATATTTGGCATATATTTTCTAATAATTTGAGGGGTTATGAGCAGATGTTTGGCTTGCAGCTGACATCCCCACCCTCCATGGAGACATGTCTCCCTGGTAACGCTGCCTCAAATTGGTCTACTGTATCATCTCTGGATTAGAGATAATATTTATTGCTGGTTGAATGGTAACTGCCGGGGTAGCCAAACACTTACAGAAAATTTGCTCCAGCATTAAATTTTCCATCACAAATCTCACATGGTGTATCCAGGGATTGAACTCAGGCCTCTGCAGTGAGAAACCTATGGCTGAGTGTCTGAACCATGACACAGCAAGTTTGTCGCTCAATCTTTCATAGTCCTCAACCATGCTCAGGCATTAATGACAGCCACCTGTGATATTTAACAGTCTTTCACATACAACTGCTTCTGCACACACCAGAAACCATCCTTCTGTGAATTATGTAACTAACATGTATTTTTTTATTAAAATGTGCATACACATTACTGAGATGTTGGATTTATGATGACTATGAAGAGTATAACATTCTGGGCCATGATACTGCATAGTTGGGTTGAACTTCACTAACATTTTAGAGGACTGTACCACCTCCATCTTCAGGGTGGAAGAGTAATCCATGGACAACCAGCAAAGAAAGTTGTTTGGTACTTACTTGACTTACTCTTTGACCCTGAAAAGGCACCACTACTTTTCCCTGAAATGTCAGTGAACTTCTACTGGGGCATACTACATTATATCCCAAGAGAGAGGACTCTTTATCCTACTGGAACACTGTACGTTCCAACAGGGCTGTTACTTTCCCATCAAAAGAAAGCATATGTTTCTGCTGAATTACACTATTGAATTTTATGTGCTCATATTTTAAACTTTTCTATCTTACGTGAATCGGAGACAAATACTTTTGAAGGTATTCAGTACTAATTTTGAAGAAACATGCTTTTCTGAAAAGAACACGAGTCTATATAGATTTTATGTCACCATATTTAAGGTCCACAAGAATATATTGTAATTGAAATATAAGGCAAATTAGAGACATAACAGTCACTTCTTGATTTAAGATTAAGTTTCAATAGAAATAGACTCCTAAAACGCTCTTTGCTAAGACTTATGCAGTTGAATCAGTATGGTATGGTCAGTGTGATACAATTTGAAGCTATACAGCCTTTATAAGTAATGTGATAATGTGCAAAAATATGAGACCAACAGTCACAGATGTGGTTCTCAAACTTCACAATTACACATATCTTTTCGTTGTAAAATCAGGATATACAAACTTCTGTATGAAACCATATTTCTATTGTTCAGGCATGTCTTTCTTAGGTGTCCATTTCACCACTTTACTCAGCACAATTTTAAAATGTTTCTCAAAGAATAAGAATACAATAATCTTGTTATTACACATTTATTGAAATAAATCCCCTCAATTTTGCTCACTCTGCATGAGTTTGGGAACCACTGTACTGGATGTACTGTGCTCCTTATCATGTCCTTGCAGCATACAGGGTATTCAAAACATCAAGTAAAAAGATCCAAAGACAAAAGAAACATTTAATATTGCCATGAAAAAAAAAACATTCGGACATATTTTTACATACAAATTGGAAAACTGATGACTCTTTGATCAGCCCATATGCTGAAACCAGTCTTTGTAAAATAAAGCAAGTTCCATTATCTGCAAATAATAGACAAAACACACTAAACTTCAAGAATTACATATAAATAAGTATTCAGCTCAAAACCCAACAATTTAAAAATACTGAAAAAAATAAATTACAATCACTAAAAATAATCTTTGATCTTTAGTACAATGGCATTATAGCTATGGAATGCAATATAAGTAGCAACACAACCATTAACTGTGCAAAACAAAATAAAATGCATTCACTGTGCACTTCACCCTCTCTTTCCTTCCTATAAATAGTATTTCCAAGCATACAATTTTTCATAACTCCAGAACGTAGCTATTCAATATCAAAAGTTTCATATAATCATATAAAGATGATCTTCCTTGCATTTTGTCTTTCTGATAAGGCCATTAATAATCAAGGCCACCATGTTTTGAGGCAACATACTTAAGGCCTCAATGAATCCAAGTCTGGGATCCAAGCAGCATCAGTAACTGATGTATTGAAGTCACTGGAGACTTTGCATATATACAGAGACTAAACCAAACAACACTTCTGATGTGATTCTAACAAAGGCTCATTTTTGACTAGGGTGCATATGCCTCATAAAAACAAATAAACGAAAGACATCAATGAAAACAAACCAAAACCCTTTTGTTTCAATAAATTACAGCCTTTCATTCTTGATTTGCTCCATTCTGGACTCCAAGCAGTCTGGCAGCTTCATCAGCAGCTAATTTTGATTGAAGAACCTTATCAATTATTGATCCCTGAATTCCAAGCAGGTTTCCAATCAGGTCTGTATTATCATCATCTGTCTCATCCCTCCTGTCTCCAGATCCTGATGTACAGAGTGAAAACTTTGAGCTTAGAATCTTTGCTGCAGCAGAAGCTGTAAAAGTTTCAGAATCATTATCCCAATGGTTAATGCCCTTAGCTGCAGAAGCGGTGGTTATGTTGTTGTTATTGTGGTTTTTCATCTTAAGGGGCTTCCCATCAATAGATCCTGATAAGGAAGTGCCGACTTCTTCATCTCCACTAACGCCAGTCACATCTTCTCCTCCTGAATGGTGCTTCTTGGTATGATGATGCAGCATGTTGTGGAGTGTGCCACCACTGCTAGGATGGTCTTCATCTCCACTGACCACAGAGACATCTTCCGTGGAAGTTGTTGAAGAGCTGTAGAGGGTGCTGGTGGCACTGTGCTTCTTTCGATGTCGTAACATGCTGTGTTTGAGCGTGAAGCGGCGCCGACATATATCACATGAGAACGGACGTTCTCCTGTGTGGGTTCGCATGTGACGCCGCAAGTCTTCAGCAGACCAGAAGCGCCGCATGCAGAATGCACACATCACCTGGTTTCAGTAAAAACAAATTTGTCAGAATGAGAAAATGCACATGAACAACATCAGAAGGTAAAACTTCGTGACAGTATACTGTACACATAATTTAGTTTCTGCAGGATAATTTCTGGATATTCATAGTTCTAAGTCAGTCCTTGCCAGACATTCTACAAATCCTATCCCATCCTTTTAGTTTCAACCACATTCCTACCAGCTACAAATTAATTTGCACAAAAATGAATATGAAATGTTTCTCTTGCTGGGATATTCCATATGAGACCAACTGACACACTACTCAGTAATAATGGATCAATTTTATGAACCTTTCTATAGCAACATGAATAAGTGAGACAGATTCCTACATATTGTAGCATGTAGACCCATTACTTGGTAACAACCTCAAAATAAAAATGAAACAATATTCAATACTAGGCAACAAATTCTTAATAAGCAAGTATATGCAGCTGTTACTGGCTAATACCTTCACAAACAAGTGCGTTTCCATGGAAATGCTTGGAGTACAACAATGAACAATGTTTTCTATGCCATCCATACTGAGATGTTATAATTGACACAAGTCAGTGGTCAGTTGTAAGGGAGTCTGTGGAGAGAAGACCTGGGCAATGCAGATGAAGAATCTCCATTGTTAAGACCTGATACTGGGAAACAAGTAGTGAAAGCAGACTGAAAAGACTTAGCATGTGCTCTAGTGATATGTAAAGTGTGGAAATGAGCGCTGGAGCTATAATTAGGTGTAGTCACAATTTGTATGCTAAAGCAGTCAATAAATCCAATCTCCAATCCAAAACCTCATCAAAGTCGCTCAGACATGTGACAATATTCTTTATTCTAACAGTTCCCAGAAAAAAGGAAAGAATTTCACAAATGGACAAAAATTATGACATGACTGCAAAGTACAAGATAATCATACATGTGGAAATTTGAATAAGGTGTTTTCAGAATTTCACAATCCTTCTAAACATCTAGCGACAGATGAATATGCTGTTCCCTTCAAAGGAAGCATAGTTTTCAAACAGTATAATTCAAAATGGCACAAACTTTTCAGCATAAAGAAATACAAATTATATGACTCCACTGGTTACACATAATATGAGAGAGTACCTAGGGAAGAACAAACAACATAAGGTACAACATTTGATACCTACACATACTACAGTGACAGAACTTAACTAGGAAATTAGGAAGACAAGGTCATAACTTGTATATGGACAATTCCCTCTCCACCCATGTTTTATTTGAGAATCTGACAAAGAAAGAGTAAGCTGTGGTGGCAATCTCTTGCATAAGTTCAGCTCAGAAGCAAGTGTAAGTTGTCATAAATTTGCATCGCCTAAAGAAGGCGAAAATATAATAAAATCTTTTAAACCCAAAAATTCCTCTGGGTATGATGGAATATCTACTACGATACTAAAAATAAGTTCTTCTTTTATTAGCTCGCCTTTAACTTATATCTGTAATAAATCAATATCTTTAGGAATTTTTCCAGATCGTCTCAAATATGCAGTAGTTAAACCTTTGTTTAAGAAAGGTGATAGATCTTGTATTTCCAACTATAGACCCATATCTATGTTAAGTTCCCTCTCTAAAGTTTTTGGAAAAGTCATGTATAATCGACTTCAGGTGCACTTGTGTAATCAGAGTATTTTAGCAGAAGAACAGTTTGGGTTTAGAGCAGATTCATCAACAAACAAAGCCATATGTAAGTTAGTTAATGAAACCCTGCAAGCTTTAAATAGTAAATCTCCAGTAGGTGGTATTTTTTTTTTTGATCTTGAAAAAGCATTTGATTGTTTAAACCATGATATATTGATCTCTAAATTACAATTTTATGGTGTTAATGGCAAAGCTAAGTTATGGTTTGAATCATATCTTAATAACAGATATCAGAGAACTCAGGTTTCCAATGAGAAATCAAATCTAATAAATCTTTCTACATGGGAAAAGATAACTGATGGTGTTCCCCAGGGATCAGTTCTGGGCCCTTTGTCGTTCCTTATTTATATTAATGATTTGCCCAAAATTGTAGACGGTAATGCTATACCTATTTTGTTTGCTGATGATACAAGCATATTAGTCAAAGGTTCTAGCTTAGGGGGCTTTTAAAATAAGATGTCTGACACCTTCACTTGTGTAAATAAATGGTTCAAAACAAATTTACTTTCAATAAATGTTAACAAAACTCATTGTATTCATTTTAAAACTAAAAATAAATCCACAATTGATGTAAATATCTTTCATAACAATCAACCAATAACAACTGTGCCTAACATTAAGACCCTTGGCATAAATATAAATGATTCATTGAACTGGAGAGGTCATATTGAATGTATTATCCCAGAACTGAGTTCGGCATGTTATATTATGAGAAGTATCAAGTCATTTATGTCTTTCAATGTTCTGAAAATTATTTATTATTCATATTTTAATTCAATCATAATGTTCTGGGGATATTCGCCCCACAGTTTTAAAATATTTAGAATGCAAAAAAGAAATAAGAATTATGATGGGCTGTAGGAGCAGGGCTTTGTGTAGGACTTTGTTTAGGAAGTTGGAAATTTTGCGTCTTGCATCACAATATATTTCTTCACTCATGTTGTTTGTGGTCAATAACAAGGATCTCTTTACTTTAAATTCAGAAAAGCATAATACAGGTACAAGACAAACAAATAATTTTTATCTGCCTAGAGTAAATTTTACAGTTTACCAAAAGGGAGTGTACTGTATGGGTATTGGGGTATTTAACAATCTTCCTCCACATATTAAAGATATATCACATAATCCAAGGAAATCTGAAGCCTGCCTAAAACATTTTCTTTATACACATTATTTTTATTCCATTGATGAATATCTTCAATTTAAGGCTATTGCAAGTCAGTGACATACCAAAGAATGTATGTATAGTTTAATGAAGTATGTTTATTGCCACCAAGTTTTAAAACCATTAGTAATAGAACTTTTTATATTTCTGTCATCATTTTATTTTATTCTATTTTTTTACTTATTTGTCTTTTATACATGTACCACTTAATGTGCAGGTGCAGGTATAAAACTACTGCAAGTGCAACCTGAAGCCTGCAACAAAAATCTGAAGAAAAGAAATGAGAAATTTAGAAAATTCTATAGCTTTAGTATGTATTTATAATATTAAGTTATTAATGGCACTTTTAAAAATGCCTCTACAATCTGTTATATTTGCATAAAAATTGGGTTTGTCTCAGAATTTAATCATTCTTACTCTAAAAAATATTGAAGTATTTCATAGAACCTAGGGTAAAATTTAAATGCCCATAAAAGTAGTCCTATGGGGCTGTTCAAACTATGGCGGTTAAACACCTGTCATTTAAGGTTCGAGTGAAGAGTTCTGGGTAGGTACATCTACCATATATGAACAGGAAGACATGCTATTCCTTTATAGCAGATACAAAACTATTGTCAACAAAACTGATCAAAGAAGATTGTGTCACACTGCATTGAGCCCCTTCTCTTTAGATTTCAGGAAATAAACAGCATGTTAAGAAGTTTCAGGTTGAAATTATGGATCTTAATTTTATTTCATGTACAAATATCTTATTAGAGTATTTCCCTTAAATTCACAAAGTTTGATTCAAATTTTAGTAAGGTAGCAGTTATAATCCCCTGCTAGGGCCTCAGTACTTCTGTGATTTCAGCAACATGGCAATACCTTCCACGCTGAGAAGTCTGGGGACAGAAATCAGCCAAGAATCAGCCCATTGGTCCTACTGGATAGCTTGGTTTGATCTTGATGCTAACAACCTCATCCCATAAAATTAACACCTGGACATATCTTATTATAATGACATAGCAAATGAATAAACTTCTGTATTTATTAAGTTATGCTTTATTTAACAACACTATTAGTAGTTCACACTATACAGTGTTATAGTAATGGAAGATGAACCAAATGGAAAGGATGTGGAAGGATGCTATCCTGGCAGTAGCCAAGAGGGACTGAGGACAACCACAGAAAATATCAGTCACAATAGCTGGTCTCTGAACTAGATTTCAACCTGTGACAAATCAAATACAAATTAAAAGTGCTGCTAAATTGACTATGTCATTCGGTGAAACTGATCACGGATTGTAATCTGGCTCATGAAATATCCTAAAGATTATGACACCATGTGATTTGGTAGACAGGTACCAACACTCTGGAGGACCCTTCCCACCTCCATCTTCATTACAGAATATGGAGGTAGCACAATCGTGTGATATGTTGGTATCTGTCTAATACCCGTATGACATTACATCCTAGAAGACCATAACCTCAACACTCACCACTGGGAGAACCTCAAATATCACATACTAAAAACTGTCAGGGAAAGAAACTGGAAATATATAGTCATGAAAAGGGTATGCTCAGAAACATTTCTCCAAAAATCCCAGGTTCATTGTGGGCTACAGTACTAATGATGATGGTGATGAATGGTTATAAAAAACTAAACTATACCAATTGGAAATCCCCTAAGAAGTGAAATTGCAAATCTCCGATGTAAACTTTCATCAAAACAGGTTATCCTCCCTGGGAGCTGAAAGTAACTCAAATGAAGCACTGAAAAGTACTGAACTAACCTTTCTGTTGGCATAGTCAGGGAACTTGCCACGTAGATGTTCCAGACTCTCTTCCCCTCCTGCATTGCCATCATCAGGGTGCTGTGTCATATTGCTACTGACATTGTTATTGTCCTCAATTCCAGTGCTGGAGCTGGAGTCAAGAGCTCCCTTTGACATCAGGAGCTCAAATTCTGAAGGGTGGCTCTCACGAATATGGTCAAGAGCCTCCTGGCGCTCTGCATAGCTACCCTCACAGAGATGGCACTTGAAGGGCAGATCTGCTGAGGACATTATACCCCCTGCATGAGGCTCAGCAACTCCAGGTGCATGTTGTGCAGCTGTGAAGGGTTTTGTTCCTGTCCCCTCTGCAACATTATTGCTGTGGGAAAATCATTGCAAGTATTCAGACTTCAATATTAAGGCTGTAGCCTTCAGGAAATGAGAACATGTACATTCTAACTACTGCACCTCCAGACCTGTGAGGTATGTTAGGTGTGTGGTTATATCATGCATGTGTTCCAGAAAGAGAGATATGACTTTGTCTAAAACCCTGATAACGAAAAAAGTACTTCACTGCACTTTCATTTTTAAAGTGTGTCTGCCAGTTCTAATATAACATCATAATTAAATAAATACATCTAAAAAATGAATGTAAGAGTGCACAGGTACAGAGATACCCCACAGAATATGAATCAAATATTTCCTGCACTAAAAAGTATACTATCCCACTTCTGGACATTCTTCCCTCAACCTTTACTTGAGTACCCCTCCTTTCTCAAGTCTGTACACCTTCAGAGAAGATAATTATCTTCTCTTTCTAATTATAATTAGAAAGTGGTGTGTTAGATGGTTACCAGTATTTACCCTGAAGACAGATGTATCAGGTTTCTCCAAAACAGTGGCACCCATCTAACAGACAAGACAGTATCATGTCCCAGGAGAATATGTCTCAATTTCAGGTATTATTTGTTAAGTTCATTTCTTATCAGTATTAATTTTTCAGATGGGAGGCACACGGTAGCGTAGTTGGTTGAGACACTATACTAACAAGCCGGAAGGTCGCAGGATCAAGTCCTGATGAGATCATTGGATTTTCTTCAATTAGCCTAATCCTTCCAGCTACATTATGGCCCTGCGGTCAACTCAGCCTCTAACAGAAATGAGTACCAGAAATATTCTTGGAATGTTTTTGGGTTAAAGGGTGGCTGGCATGTAGGGCTGACAACCTTGCCACCATCTATGAGCCGATCGTCTACAAAATGTGGGAACTTCAACATCTCACAAACCTCCATGGCCTGTTATAGGGATACCTTTACTTTTTTTACCTTTTTACTAATTGCAGATGAGATGGTGATCTTGTAAAATGAACTGGAGACAAAGCAGAAGCAACAAGTGTGACTTAGTTTGGACTGAAGAACAAAATAAAAAGATACAGAAGTTTTGACAGAGTTCCTATGCCTGCTGATATCCACCGCTGTCCAAAAGGTATCCAACTTTTATTTTTTGCCACTGTAAGTAATGGCCAAAGGGTGGGGAAACTGAGCGGAGTGGTAGAAGGGACTTTCATGCGCATGTGTGATTTTTTGCTTACTCGCAACACCGCTGGATGCGTCTGTGGCTGCCAGATAATGAAGTGGTGTAACTCGTGTATGTCACATTCTCATTTCGCTCAAGATGACAGAATGCTTGGAACGGCAATACTGCATTAAGTTTTGTCAGAAACTTTGGGATGCCCAAGCGGAAACAATTTGCAAAATTCATCAGGATTTCGGCGATGATGCAATGGGGGGTCACTCAAATTAAAGAGTGGTTCAACCACTTTAAAGGTGGCCGTATGTTGGCGGACAGTGACCAGCATTCCAGGAGACCGTCAATGAGCCGAAATGCCAATGTCATTGAAAAAGTGTGGACACTGATCACGGAGGACCATTGTTTGACCATCCAGGAAGATGCTGATGAGGTTGGGATCAGCAGAGGTTCCGCAAACACAATTTTAACTGAGGATTTGGGCATGCAAAAAGTGACGGCAAAATTTGAACCCAAGCTGCTTTCACCGAAGCAGCAACAACTCTGCCTTGAAGTCGCTCAGGTCATGCTGGAGTGCGCCAACTGGGATCCTGAGTTCCTGAAGACTGTGATCACTGGTGACGAGTCGTGGGTGTACGGATATGACCCGGAAACCAATGTCCAGGCATCACAATGGATGCATCCAACATCCCCGAGGCCCAAAAATGCACGACAGTTTCAGAGCAACATAGTGACTGTTTTCTTCGATTACAGGAGTGTTGTGTATCATGAGTACGCACCACTAGGCCAAAGTGTCAATAAGGAGTACTACCAAGAAGTCCTCCACCAGTTTCATGATGCAGTTCGGTGCAAGAGGCCGGAGCTGTGGGATGCACGCACCTGGCAGCTGCATCATGACAACACCACAGCTCCTTCATCACACCTGATCCAGGGTTTGCTGGCCAAGCTCAGCATTCCACAGGCTGCCTACTCTCCTGACATGGCTCCTTGTGATTTCTGGCTGTTCCAGAGATTGAAGACACTGCTAAAAGGCTCCTGTTTTGACAGCTGTGAGGACATCATACAGAATGTGATGCCACAGCTGCACGCCATTCCAAAAGAAGCCTTCCAGAATTGCTTCAGTGATGGAAGGACCGCTGAGCTAAGTGTGTGGAGTCACAAGGGGCCTACTTTTAAAGGGGATTAGATATTGTAAGCAGCCAGATACAGAACTTTGTTTTCCTGTCCCAAGGTCAGATACTTTTTGGACAGAGTAGTATGACTACTCAAGCTCAATGTCCCTTTTAATCTAACAGGGCTGATTGCTGGATCTGTGACACTTGTGCTTCCCCCCCCCCCTTTTTTTGCTATAGAATGCCACCTGCATCACTGTCACTTCATATAACCTACTGTCACTCTTTCTCTGTGTTATTCCTGCAACATTCTGATGTACATAAGCATTTTGTGGTACTGAGCACTGGGTGCACAATTCTGTAGTTTCATGTAAATTCAGTATTTCATATTCTGGGGCCAATTCCATTTCTTGCATGAACACTGATCGTGCATAAAAAGAATTACATTATATTACCAAGGTGGATTGTGTGGCAGTAATGCTCTTACACTCATATTCTCGTGCCACTCAGTTTGGATCTATGCTGAAATGTGCTTGCCTTCAGTCCCTCCAGGCAAACGCTGGCATAACAACTGAAGTGGGCCAAAACTGCTTCCTTCTAAACCCATTTAAATTCATTATTCATCAATCACCCTATCATTCAATGTTATACATTCCAGAAACAGACTGTGTCATAAAGTATATTTATATTCGTTGTAAAAGCTGGGACAGCTAATATAGTGATAGGTTACAGGCTGAATAGCTGAGGATTTGGGTTCTACTCCCAGTAGGAGCAAGAGATTTTTGTCTTCTCCAAAGTCTAGATCAGCTCTGGAACCCACCCAGCCTCCTGCTCAATGGGCCTTGGCAGCTCCTTTCAAGAGCTGTGATCATCAGTGTCTGAAGTTGACCATTCAATTCCTCTCACTACTTTGACATAGGAGCGCCTGAAAATAAACTTTACATATCTACATGACTGGGGGGTGGAATGCTATAGCATAGTTGGTTGAGACCATATGCTACAAGCTGTGAGGTAAAGGGTTCAATTCCCGATTAGGTCACTGGATTTTTTTTTTAATTGACCTAATCCTTCCAGCTGTACTATGGCCCTTAGGTTGAATCAGCCCCTAATAAAATTAATACCAGAAATCTTCTTGGGGGTAAAGGGTGGCCAGCCAGTGCATAAGAGTGACAACCTCACCACCAACTGTGAGCCAAATGTCTAGAAAATGTGGGAGCCTTGATGACTCACAACACTACGGACTTCCATGCCCTGTTAGAGGGATTGTGTCACATCTTTATTGCATTTCGTTATGGTGCCTATATTTCAGGAATCAAGTTCAATGTTCTGTTGCTTCATTATTTTCTCTTTGGTTGCATGTGGGGCAGTGCTTCTGTTGTGATTCACTATTAATCTCTTCTTGTAGATTCTAAAGGGTTCTGACGATGGTGGACGAAACACAGAATTACTGGGGTTTTGGACTTTCTCCATCATCCAGAATTCTAGGTAACAGAGGACACATTTTGGAAACTGAGTAGGTGTCTTCCTTTCTCACCTGAAGACAGAAACAGATCCAGTTTCCGAAACGTCGTGTCCTCTGTTATGTAGAATTCCGGATGATGGAAAAAGTCCAAAACCCCAGTAATTCTGCAATCTCTTCTTGTCTGCATTTAGATAAAGATCTTATGTTCTCATAAATGTGTTTAAAATAGTCAAAACTTTACTGTTATGCACTTGAAATAATTTTAGATGTCTTAGTTCTTACTAATAAGAATGCAGTCTCTTTAAGAGTTTCAAGGAATGCAGTGTGATCATTGGTGTTCCAGAACTAGGTATCAGCTGTGCTAGGTGAACACGATAAGCAACGGTGTAGCTACAGGCTGTGTTTCATAAAAAAGATAATATTAAAATTATGATCTGAAATGTGACACCGTATAGTCAGGTACTAACATTCAAAGGACCTACCTGCTGCCTCCATCTTCAGGATAAAAGAAGTGAACTATGCTCAGAAAGCAGTACATAATATAGGGAAGAGAATGTTGAGACCAGGGGTTATGAGGAAAAAGCAGAAATTAGTTCCTTGAAGAAGGTTATATTCTGAAAGGAGGAAAAACAAGAAGTGTAAAATGATGGAAAGCAAGACCTGGATTCTTTTATCTAGGTGACATAAATGTCCACTGGTAACCCCCATCTCTACTTACTCTTCCTTCCTCACCCCTCCACCCTCCCTTTTCTTCTAATTACTCTTTTTACTTCCTTCCATCCTCTTACATTTCTCCATTTTCCCCATTGAGCAAACTACCCTTCTCAGGGTCACTGGGCCTCAGTGCTGTGCTTACAGCCTCTCTTCTCATTATTATGCACTGTTTGGCCTGTTTGGCTCAATTCTTCTAACCTGCAAATGGAGCCAGCCAGTTCTTCTGAAATGTTGGTATGCATCTACCAAACTATAAGTATCACATCTGAGAACTCCATAATCTTAAAACTCCATGCTTCAAGGGCATTCAGTGTTCAGTTTTCTCAGCATTTCACACTTGATCTCTGCTCTGATTAACTAAATGATACCTTGGAAAATGGCTCCTCTGGCAGTCTGCAGGTGCTGATGATAGGTTATGGACACTGTGTTCATCATGCTCCTGCTGTTCCAATTTAGCTGTCCCTGTATCATCACCAGCATCTTCACTCCCACTACCGTGACTCTCATCTCCTCCATACCGGCTTGCAGGCCGACTGTTGCCTGTACTAGTGATATTGCAACCCTCATCCTGGTACATTACACTCCTAAAAGAAAGACCATAAACTCTGTGTGTCTATATTTATACCACAGTACACTTTTGTTTCTCCAGTAATCAATTCATATATCAATGCCAATGTATGCATTTTATAATGATATCCAACTTTTTATATATCCACTATAGCTCAGTCGGTACAGTGATTGGCTCCTGGATGGATGAAAGAGGGGTCAGAGTTCAAGTCCCAGTAAGGTCAAGAATGTTGTCCAGACGGGCTCTGAGGTTCATCCAGCCTCCTATCCAATGGGCACTGGGTCAAGAAAATACGGGTCTATACATCCACTCCCCCATATGCCTTCATGGCATAGTGCTTAATTAGTTAAGTACAGGGACAACTATCTTTTTACCTTTACATATAACTGATAACTCACCCTCAGAAGGTGGCAGATACATTAGATTCTTGTTTTATTGATAAGTTGGAAGAACTAGTGAAGAAAAATAGGAGTAAAGGTAGTGGTAAATCATTACAAGAAGTAGTGGACTGCAACCCAAACTCTATGTACTTCTTTCCGATTTCTGAAGAAGAAACAGTTAGAGTAATATCCAAATTAAAAGGCAAAGCTTCTGCAGGATTTGATGAAATCCTTGATTTTCTAGTAAAAGAATGCATCACAAGTATAAAAAAACCACTTAATTTCATAGTTGATGAATCCATAAATCAGGGTGTATTTCCAGATTTATTGAAAATTGCAAAAATTAGGCATGTTTATAAAAAGGGCAATAGGCAAGAAATTAGTAATTACAGACCTATATCTGTTATATCTATATTCTCAATATTTAAAAAAAAATAGTGTATAACAGATTAGTATCCTTTATTATCAAATATAAGATTTTAACGGAAAATCAATATGGCTTTCAGAAAAATAAGTTAACCATATCTGCGTGTCAGTCTTTTATTGGAAATTCTCAGGAAGCGTTGGACAGGCGGTCATTTGCATTTGGTATATTCTTTGGTCTCACAAAAGCTTATGATGTTATTGATCATGATGTACTTCTTGAAAAATTAGATTATGGAATAAAATGAAAAATTAATGTTTGGTTAAAATCCTATCTCACACTGCGTTCTCAGCGTGTAGAAATAACCACTAATGACAATAAATATTCTATGAATAGGTACAATTCTACATTGAGGAATATAAAACTCGGAATACTTCAAGGGTCTATTTTGGGCCAGCTCCTATTTTTATTATATATAAATGATTTACCCCATCATACATCAAATGGAGAAGCGGTTCTTTTTGCAGATGATACCAACATACTGATAATAGATAAGAAACAAATTACTTTCAAGAAAAAAAGTGGCGATACAGCTAGAATCTTGGTTTTCAAAAAATAACCCCATTATAAATACTGACAAGCCCAAGCTATTGCAATTAAATAAATTTTATGACACTGAGACAGTTATTACTTTCAAAAATATAAAAATTAATTATACATCTCAATTCAGATTTTAGATATCAATATGACAAGTAATCTCAAATGGAGCTCCCATATTCAGTCTTTGTGTCTAAAATTGAATATGACATGTTACATTATTAAATCCTTGCAAGATGAAGTGAGTTTCTATATACTCAGGAATATTTACTTTGCCAAATTTCAATCCTTAACAAGTTATGGCTTGAT